TTGGAGAGTACCTTAGCTCATTGTCGTTGATTGTTAGCTGTCACAGCCTGCTTTACCCTGGGTGCCAAACTAGTATCGGGCTGTTAGCCGTTTTCCTAGAACTAGGGCCGGACAAATTTCCCTGGGCTCAACTCCTCCGTGGCGGTAATTTTGATAGGCGGGCGAAGGGCACTTGGCTGCCGGCATGCCGAAGGAAAACGACTAACGGTCCAATACTAGTTTGGCACCCAGGGTAAGCTTGAAAACACTGCGAAAGCGTATGACGACTTACGATAAATGTGACCACGCCATATATTAAAGTAAAATCACAACCAACATTTCCACTCTCCACACCACATAGGTGTACACGGCCACCGGAAAAGCTGTCCGAAACAAACTGACCAACAAGAGAGTCCGGGAAGTAGAGAGGGCCAGCAGAGACGACTTGGAGAAAAACCGGACGGCAGAGGCACTCAAGAAAATCCTCCTCGCCTATAAGGAGTTTCTGGCAGGGCCCAACCAACTCGGGATCGAGATTGTGTACTGTAGTGTGACCATTGTGATATTCCTGGGTATATCGTCCACGTGTTTCGTGTGGTGGGTGTACATGGGGAGAGTTCGCCACTACACGTTTCTAGCGGATAGGCAGCCAGAGCCGTGTTATTACCGATGCTGTAGACGGGGGAGAAAGAGCGGTTGCTGCGAGGGTGTACGGTGCAGGGAGGCTGAGGGGGAGGGGGGGACAACAAATGGAGGAGGTTATACCGATGGAAGGGGTAGCGGCTGTTCGCAAGACTTACGTAGTGCATGAAGCTGTTTCTACCGTGTGAAGGAAAAGGAAGTTATCTGTGACTGTTAATGTCGTAGTTTGTGGCCATGCAGTTGTCGGTCACCATTCGTGTGTATGAACTCAGCGGCGTACTCTTCCGTTCACATTCTAGAGCCCATGTCACATCCAGGCCCTTCCCACGACATTGGCTCCCGACCATTCCCCGACCAAGGTCGACGCTGGGTTGGGAGTAAGCTGGAGTACAATCTATTCTAGCTACAACTGATCACATCCAAGCAGAATATTGCTTTCCGGGACTCGTAGGAAACCTCGCAGACTAGACCAACTCCCGACCATAGAGGATCTTGGCACGACTAACTCACAACCATATGGTCGGGAAAAGACCAGAGAGTCATGATCGGCTATGTGTGACAGAGGCTTACCTGTAACTGACAAATCGTTACAAAATATAGAAGTTCAACTGTTGACTGTAACTCAATTGGTTGCAATAGATTTGTTTCTTAAAATGGATAACAACAATGACACGTCATGTGAGTAGTATAACATATCCATTGAAATTGAATTTGGCGCCGCGTCTTCTTATACCATATAGATACTAGCCTTGATATATAATAAATAACGTTACATGTAAAGTTCAAGCAAGTCACATAAATGTATTGGTGTAATTTTGTGCCATCAATTGGCTGTTGGCTTGTTGCCGTTGGAAAGTCGGAATCGGGCTCATATTTCTGTTGTTAGGCCAAGGTGGTCCTTGATCAGGCTATGTAATAAATCAAACTTTCTGCTATTTGAATGTTATTACTTCCTTTGATAATATAACAACAGTGTATAGTGCAGTATTTGCAATATTACTAGTACTTTCCTATTGATACGATGAGAAGCTGTACTTTGTAGGGCTTGGGCCAGGGCAAATCGGTACTCCAATGACGGGCCAAGCCCGGAATATAATTTTCCCGTGGCATATATGCCAATACATAGCGCCATATTTTGCACAAATTCTACAATTTATAAGTCTACAAAGAGGTGTGGAAGAGACCCTGTTCTGAGAAACGGGAAATTTCTGTCGCAAATGACATGTGGCGAATACAAACTCCGCGGATAGCACTAACAAGAAACTCCAGCCTCTTTGCCTCATTATAAATTCCAGCTCCGCGGAGCTCATTCTCTAACCTTCCGTGTCGTGGTGGCAGAAGGAAAGTATCGAGGGTTTCTCCTCATCTTTCTACGAGACTATTTCGGTTTAATTCGTTGAGATTATATCGTCGATTCAAATCAGGTACGTACGAAGAGCTTGTCTACTCTACAGTTATCGCTTTTATAGGATAATGATAGGTATTAAAACATTTTTGTTTGCGTTCTGTCTCAAGTCAAAAAATAAATATATTTGTGAGTCTGCCATGCATGTGACAAGATACGGCTCGAAAATCAACGACATCGTGTTTGTAAACAAAGTTATGTCTGCAACAACTGTATAGAGTGTGTCTGGAACATCAAGGGTACCCAAACGTTGAAGTCCTGTTTGGTTATGTCGTTTTTTTTTTTTAATTTGTGTGTATATCTTTGTTTTGACAAAGTTCTTGTTGACGCGCCAAGCAGAAGGTCTAGAGGGGGTTACGTAATTTTGAAACTGAAGACGTCGATAGCAGAGATCGATGCTTGCAATTGTCATACAGGAAATAAGATTGTCTTTTGAAAAGTCAGTTGTTAATTTGTGCAGAGAAACGTGAATTTTGATTTTGAAATTGGAAAATGACTTGCGTCAAAACTTCCAGTAAACCCCTACATGAGCCTCGGGTGATCTTCCCGCCCAAACATCTGGTTTCTATCATGGAGGAAATGACTGGAGACTAGGGGAGGTTCAATAACTGTTGTACAGGTAGTACCGGTATTACTAGTTATCAGTTAGGGGTGATCCACTAACTACTATAGTTGAAGCTTTGTCGACCGAGGTGATACACAGAAACGCAGCCAATCTAATCACATAGTACTAGTATTTTGTTTTCCATTTTCCACAGGATTCCACAGTCCAGCAGTATTGCCTACCCTGCTGAAAGGGAAAACACAGAGGCTTCACCTGTGTTCTACCTTCTACCTACATCAGTGCCTTGTTGTAGCAGTTCCACTTCAAGACTTGATTGTATGAAAAAGTATATCTTGCAGGTAATAATATATACTATTTTAGTAGTACAACAAGCTGATCTGTGCTATAGAATCAGAAAATTGGTACATTGTCATAATTTGACTCTTCTGATACTGTCACCCCTACGTACTCGAGCCCTTGTTAAAGCTGCATTGCACAAGTATAGCTAACTACTATAGTTGAAGCTTTGTTGACCGAGGTGAAACACAGAAATCGGAAATGCAGGGCAATCTGATCACATACAGTATTTTGTTTTCCATTTTCTGCAGGATTCCACAGTCCAGCAGTACTGCCTACCCTGCTGAAAGGGAAAACACAGAGGCTTCACCTGTGTTCTACCTTCTACCTACATCAGTGCCTTGTTGTAGCAGTTCCACTGCAAGACTTGATTGTTTGAAGTATACCTTGGAGGTAATAATATATTATTTTACGTACAACAACCGGATCTGTGATATTGAATCAGAAAATTGATACTTTGTCATAATTTGACTCTTAGGCCACACCAATTTATTTTCTTGGTTAACGGATTTTTGTAGAAAAAAAATGGAGCGGGCGGGCGAAAAAAAAATAAAAATAAAAATTTGATACTACCTGCCATACAGCCATGTAGTGTGAAATCCAGACTGCTTTATTAAGTTACGAAAATACTGGGAAAGAAACAAAAGACAAGAGAGGATGTACTGTATTGTGTTTTATTTGCTATCCACACCATTGGGTTTATAATCTTTTTCGTACACGAGCAAAATGCAGAAAACAAGTTTTAGCATGTTACTTCCAAGTTCCACCATCATCATATGTACTCTAAAACATGACACGAATGTTAACTCTCACAAGCAAATAAATAGTCACAACAACTTTAAAGGGGACAAAATTTATTCAATTTTACATGTACTGTACCTAGATTCTGCCTTGATCCAAAGTTCCAGCTTTCTCAAACAATTTAAAGCTTCCGCCACAAATTTTGTCCGCCATGAGGCTCCCGCCATGCAGAACAAAACAAAACAAATGACTGAGCCAACTTGGTTCCAGAACATCGCATCTGATTGGTCAGAAAGTAAAACAATCCACGATTGGCTACTTTACGTCATGTGACTATGTGTGCAGGAGCGCCTCTAGCGACATTGGTATCAACTGCAGCAATTTCATTGGGGTCTCCCTGTTCAGGGTATTACCGGCCTGTGGGGTCTAAACTATGACGTTTTTTATTTTTATTTTCATTCGGCAAAAAAAGCATGCGGCGAATCCGTTAACCAAGGAAATAAATTGGTGTGGCCCTACTCTTAGAATGATACTGTCGCCCCATACGTACTTGAGCCCTTGTTTAAGCCACATTGCAGACTTTGCAGTATAGCTACTGAAGAAGAATCATGCTTCATCTTCTTGAGGATGACTGGCGACGACGATACTTTGAATCTTACCTCATTTGCCCTATGGAAAGCAGCCAGCAGACACATTTGAATTTTCTCAATGAAGGCTCACACAAACTGATAGGGCATTAAACTTAATCTATCTAGCAACAACTTTTGCAAGTAGGCCTTGCTTTTTTCTTTGTAGATTTTGGGACTGTATACTAGTACTTTCTTCATCTAAATGTCTCATTTTTATTCAGTTCAGTTCAGATCATCCATTTCATTATCAATCATGATTTATGTTTACCAAAGCCAGAAACTGTTAAAATTAAATATGGTTTATCCTTCTACTCCAGGACTGAAGAGGTGAATTCAGCTTTCATTATCATGGCGACAAATAGCAGTGGCTCTGATGACATCAGAAGAGGATCAGAAAGGGGATCTGCCGACAGGGTAGCTGGCAAAAAATCCTACAGGTGTGAGGAGTGCAGCAGGCAGTTTAGTCATCTGTGTTATCTGAAGATTCACTTGCGGACACACACTGGGGAGAAACCCTACAGGTGTGAGGAGTGCCGCAGGCAGTTCAGTCAGCTGGGTAGTCTGAAGAAACACATGCGGACTCACACAGGGGAAAAACCCTACAAGTGTGAGGAGTGCAGCAGGCAGTTTAGTGAGCTGAGTAATCTGAAGACTCATATTCGGACTCACACAGGGGAAAAACCCTACAGGTGTGAGGAGTGCAGCAGGCAGTTTAGTGAGCTGAGTAATCTGAAGACTCATATTCGGACTCACACAGGGGAAAAACCCTACAGGTGTGAGGAGTGCAACAGGCAGTGTAGTCAGCTGGAGAGTCTGAAGATCCATATGCGGACACACACTGCAGAGAAACCCTACAGATGTGAGAAGTGCAGCAGGCAGTTTAGTCATCTGAGCCGTCTGAAGAGTCACATGCGCACTCACACTGGGGAGAAACCCTACAGATGTGAGGAGTGTAGCAGGCAATTCAATCAACTGTGTAATTTGAAGGTACACATGCGGAGTCACACAGGGGACAAACCGTACAGGTGTGAGGAGTGTAACAGGCAGTTCTGTCAGCTGGGTGGTCTGCAGAAACACATGCGGACTCATACAGGGGAGAAACCCTACAAGTGTGAGGAGTGCAGTAGGCAGTTCAGTCGACTAGATTATCTCAAGGAACACATGCAGACTCACACTGGGGAGAAACTCTACAGGTGTGAAGAGTGTAGCAGCCAGTTCCGTCGACAGGGAGGTCTGAAGAGACACATGCTGACTCACACAGGGGAGAAACCCTACAGGTGTGAGGAGTGCAGCAGGCAGTTTCGTCGACTGGATGGTCTGAAGGAACACATGCGGACTCACACAGGGGAGAAACCCTACAGGTGTGAGGAGTGTAGCAGGCAGTTCAGTCGACTAGATAGTCTGAAGGAACACATGCGGACTCACACAGGGGAGAAACCCTACATGTGTGAAGAGTGCAGCAGCCAGTTCAGTTCTCAGGGTGCCCTGAAGAAACACATGCGGACTCACACAGGGGAGAAACCCTACAAGTGTGAGGAGTGCAGCAGGCAGTTTAGTCGACTGGATAGTTTGAGGAAACACATGCAGATTCACTTGTGAGAAACGTTTCAAGTGCGAGGAGTACAGAACCAGTTTTGATGAATGTGTAGTGAGCTGGGTGATTTGAAACACTTTGCTTGTACAGTGAGGTAGGTACGAAAGTACTAGTATACATGTAGTGAGTGTGAGTATAGTACAAACTCTCAAGATTTTAGAATACCTAAACCCTAAACTTAAGAGAAGGCCATAATGGTAAGAAAGATGGACCATGATGTGGGAAATTCATGTTCTACAAGAAATCATCACGACTAAGTAAGAGTGATTGTGGAAACTGTGTCAAAATATTTTTTATTGTTGGTTCTTTGAAAACATTTTTGTGTGTGGTACATTGTAGCATTCCCTGCCTGGCATTATAGCATTAAAATTGCACTGATATAGAAGATGAAGAGGATATTAAGTAATGCATGTATATCCAGCCTAATCTAACCTAGTTCCTCTGTTACCGAGCAGGACTTTTTCTGTTCTTAGATGGATTACCATCCAATATTACCTTGTTACCTTTATATCGGTTAGACTGTAGAGATGTTTTAGGATAGCATACAGTTTTATCCTTTTGTTTTGCCATATAGATCATTGTTGGTAGTTGAAAATGGATAGGTGAGGGCTAGTGCTGTTAGTTTATTAGTACTACTGTATCCAGTATATTTGGTAGCAATAGAGCCAACAGGCCTAGGTACTTAGTATAGAGCCTTATCTTTGGTTTTGAAGTACATATGTATGAGAAAAGTAGTAATAGGTGCCTTTTACAGTTTTTATTATGTTAACATTGTTCAAGTCGTTTTCGTTTTTGTTAAAATAAAGGTTCTTTTTGTCATATAATGTTACTACTTACTAGTAACATTGCTGTCTGAAATTGTCAGCAGCCGTTTTCAACATTATGCATTAGATATACCGTAGAATACTGGAGGTTTAGAATCTCAGGTCTCTTGTTATTGATACCATTATTCTATTTGGATGTACAAGCTGTTTATTCAGCTACTCGAACTCAAACTCCAGCCCTGAACCTTCCATCCGTTTACGGTACTTTTCGTCAAACTTGTCGCTTTCCTCTGCCGAGAAGTGGTTCTTCCAGTCTCCAACAACACCTTGGGAGACAGAAGGTAATGGTCATCACACCCTGTTTTATTTTGTTTCTTTGTTTTCAACCAGAAGCAAACACAGTAAGCAACTAGCATGGGTACGTCGATGAAGGTTAGACATCCAGGTAATACGATACGCCAAAAAAGCAGTTACTCAAGCAACTGGATATGATTTTGAAAACGTCAGACGTTTCAGCTAGTATCCACTAGGTAGTAACTTTCAGCTAGTATCCACTAGCATGGGTATTTGACGAAATATCACAAAACTTTTCGCTCATTGCGATGACGTTTTGAATAACGTTACTATTATAAATTAGACAAGGTCAAGATTCTGTTATTCAGTCACAAAGGAGGAAAAGACGACTGCTTTCCTAGATTTATTTTGATTGGCAATATATCCGACAAAGTGAACATTTAACAAAAACATTGATTTTTTTTACCCTTCCTGACCATGTCCTTCCTCCACGTAGACTCTGCAAACCTCTTTCTCATTGACTCAAAACTGCAACTGGTCAGCACACGGGTCAGGTCTTCATCGGTCAGTTCTTTCCCTAAGAAGGCTGCTACAGTCTTCACTGCCGAGCAAAAATCCTGCAAACGAGCAAGGTCGCAGCACACAGTATTTATGGGCGAACAAAAAGTAGTTCGGGTACAGTACTTGAGATAGCTGTCGAGATTCTTTCTTGCAGGATAGCGTGGTGAAAACTATGCTGAATTGTAGAGGAATGCATCGGGGTTGAGACCGTATAATTTGATTTAGGATGTTTGTTAGGCCGGGGTACCGGGTCAATTCGCGCCTGGATCCTGTATTAAACGACCCGGTACTGTGCATCGTCTGCAGTTCACATGACCCCCGCAAATCGTCATTATGGCTTCACCACACCACGAAATGCACCTTTGACACTACAGGTGCATTCGTAATTGTGAACCTACTTATTGATACTGACGGTAGGTAATCCTAAAAATATACAGTGTGTATGTCATATTCTATATATATATAATTTTCTCATACGATTCTCCCATGAGTACGTTGATATATAATATGAATCCTTTACCTTGTTCATATCTTCGTACTTGACAAAAAGGAAGTGGGGGTCATCTTTCATTTGCCACCAGCCCAGCACATGGTCAAAGTAGTCACCATACGGCACTGTGATGAAAAAAAAAAAGGATTGACCTGTACATGTACATGAACATGTCAGGGTAGAGACTCCGAGATCTGAATTTTTATGATATTTGCTTGGACAACTTTTCAAGTTTGATTCATGTTACTTTAGTTGATGGATTGATTTGAAATTTAGGATTTGTAAATGGGAAACCACATAAACAGGACCCTAGGCCTGATCGGAGACTTGCAAAGTGAGGTAGTCAAATGGAGGTATTGTTTTTGGTGTGTCTGTCTGTGTTTGTCTGTTTGTTTGTCTGTCTGTCTGTGCGTTTATGCTTCCGGACATTTGCGGCCAGCATGACTTTTGAACCTTCGGATGATATTTGGTATGTGGGTAGGTAAAGGTCAAGGTCGAGTTTTGGCCTCCTGGTGACTGCAGTATAACGTCCGTTTTTTTGTATCTTTTGTCCTGGACATGCTATGGTCTGATTTTTGAGTGGTGGATAGCTTTACCTGTCAGTAATAAGTGGTGTGGGTTTGGTCCCCTTAGCAACTTGTTCTGGAACTGCAAGGGGGGGGGGGCTTCTGGCGAAACCTTTCAGAGCAGATAAATTCACAAAGAAACAATGTATTTTTATGATTTTTCCTATGTGGGTAGGTTAGACAGAGATCTTCATTATTAGATGCAAATTATGAAAATTATGACTTCATTTGCATAATTAATGAAGAAATGCTGTAATTCCAGTGTTTTACATCATGTGACTTTGATACATGAAATGTTTATAATATATGGCAAGTGGAATATCACTAGATACCAATTATGCAAATAATACATATATGTCACCGCTCAATAAAGATCTCACCTTTCCCATTCAGAAAGTCCTTACAGTGCTGTTCCCAAGATTCTGGAGACTTAAATGTCGGCCTTTTCTGCCGGTAGTAGTAGTAGGACACACAAACATCCTTAGGGTTTCGCATGACGACAATGGTCTTCACCTATAGTGTGATATGTATCATCGTTATGACCAATATTCGTTTGACGTGGACTTTTCAGTTTCATCATACGTATATATTGGGACATCTTCTTTTGGTATTATTTTCAATATTGTTGGATTTCTTTTGTTATATATATAGATATATATTTATTTTACAAATTTAAGACCGAAGGCTAATTGCAACATACAACATATACGACAAACATACATGAGAAACAAGTGACTTTTCTGTCCAAAACAATCGACTATTCCATTCAAACTTCTTGGAAGTAGATATGCCTAGCGTTGATGAATTCCGTAATGCGGCGCATTGTTACACACACGGTTGTATGACGAAACGTACGATCACTATTACACTCATTTCGGAACCCCAACATACAAACCTAACACCACCCAAAACAGTACTTCCGTCCCGGAAGTAACAAGTGCCGTACAAAAAGGAATAAAGAATGTTTGAGGTAACAAAATGCTGTAAAGGTAGCGATGCCAAACCTTGGTGACTGGAGCTGTCAAGCCTGGAGGTGCCAGTTGGACTTGTAAATGTGTATACATCAGTCGAGGCGATGGAGTCTCTCGAAGCTGGATATACCAGGGTTTTTGTCCTGGAGGGCAATACTCAGGTCCTAGAGGTGACGAATCCTCCTTCTTTCCACCAAGAATTTTATGCACAGTTTCGAACATCCAGTTTAAACCTTGGAGAAAACGCAACAATTAACGTAGAGCAACACGTGATTGGGGATGAAGCAACGCTGAACTAGGATCACAACACCCACTTTGATATTACAGCTATCTACTTAAGTAGATGTTGATGTGACTCGTTTTTGAGTGACAAGCGGGCTTCTCTAGCAGCCTTTGTTTGTAAGAAGATAGAAAGTTGAGTTAGAGGCAAGATTAGGTAACGAAATACGGATGTCCAGATATACATGTATTCTTAACCTTCTTATTACGCACAACATTACGATATACGTAAATGTAGGGACGTGGGGAAAGACTCGCCAAGGGGTATTCAATTTTGAGCCTTATTTGACATTGAATTCGAACCAACTAAACTCAAGAATAAGAATGCCAGATATTTCGTCAAGAATAGAATGGTATATTTGTTCATGAACTACATGTTTGCATTGCATTCTACCAATAGAAGTAGCGGAGTATACAGATCTTGTATGCGACACCTACCGCTTTTGGGGTAGCTTACAATCACCACATCACCGTCACGTATCTCAAAAGTCTTCGTCACTTCCAGGCTTTCCTTTGGAACGCTACTTGGGAACAATATTCCCTGGTACTCCACGTAGGGTGGTGGCTCGGACAGTGGACGCTGTTGCGACGATGCCATGCTGCAAGCCGAAAAGTTGAACATTACTATTGTTGTCCATATCGTTGTAGCCTGACTAAATCGCGCTCCTAGCGGCCTACCCGAGCGTTGTCGCTATAAACTCTCGACCGAGTTCTTGTGTAAACACAAACTAATATCGTTGTTAATGTAGCCTGGCAAAGAGGGGCTTCACTGCAGAAAAAATCCTTACTTTAAACGTGTGAAGGTTCTGTTCCTCCCCTAGCTCGTGCCTTTGCGCATGCCTTATGCTTAGGTCACATTTGAAACGGCGCCCGTTCGGCATGTCCTCGGTGTAGACGCCGGCCGGCGTCATGACGCCGAGCGTGCGCCGACTGTCAGGGTCACAATTAAATGTTCCTTTACGGCTCCCTGTCGGGGCCTGGTTGTGCTCCGGCCGGTGGCTTCTAATTAATATTCATAAACTTTTGGTCCCCTTGGCGGCCGGTTTCTGTCAGGGACCCGTCCGGTGCCTGGTCAGTCTCCCGTCTTGACCCGTGCGGCTTGCGGTAGGGTGCCGACCGGCTTTTACAGTTCGGCCGGGCAGCTGTCAGGTCCCTGGCGGGGTCCAGGGAGGATCCTGGCGCGTCCCTGGCGGGATCCCGTCGTGTTTGTAAGCCGGTATATATATATATATAAGCGCTACACTGCCTGCCATCATTGCGACTTTAAATACTAGTAGATGTTTCACGACCCCCTACAACGTGTAGGCCCATCCATCGAGAAAAGTCCTGAGCAAGTGCTTTTTTGGTGAATGCCCTCTACTTCTTGACACATTTTAATGTATCCATAATGTTATATAATAACAGCAAATTTAGATATTACAGTCCAGTCTGTATGTAACACTTCTGTTTAATTCTTTCCAGTGCCAGACAGCCCTTGCCAGCAGGCCTAAAACTCGCCATTACCCTACGTTTCCTGGCGACCGGGAACAGCTACCGATCCTTGGATGACATCCGCGCGCGCATTGATTTTCGCCTGTTCTAAAAAAAAAACACGTCTTTCGATGCTCTGGTCTGGTTCTAGTCCATGGTAGTCCATGGTAGTTAGTCCATGGTAGTTAGCGCAGCCCACATACAACACAATGTCACTGTTCTGAAGTACATGTATGCCGGGCTATCGTCTCGGCTGCCCATCGGCATTCTGACACACAAGTATACGGTGTAACACACACAAGTACACGGTGTAACACACGCGTGTTGAACTGTGCGACGTAGCCTGAACAAGGAGTTTACATATGTCCCATATAACCCCATTTTCCTTACCACCTTATGCACTGATCAGCACATATGACGTCATAATCTTAGGCAGGTGCCTGTTCGGCCGCCCGACGGGTCCCGGGCAGTGAGGTTACGGCGTCGCTTCGGCGTATTTCGCCGAACGGGGCCCGAAGTGATTTTAACTCTGAGTTAAAATCGATTCGGCGACCGCGCGGGGCCAAAAATAGGCCGGCAGCCGTCGGGAAGCCCGCCGGTCTCCGTCCAGGTCCCGTTCGGTAGTGCCAAAAAACACGCCGAACACGCGCCGAGCGGGCCCCTTTCTTGAATTGTGACCTAAGCATTATATACGATATTATATATCGTGCAGTGCTTTAGCTGATAAAAATTATCAGGGAAGACCACTGTATGTATACATAAACATGTACCCCCTCGCCGGTTAGAGTCATATCCTGTAAAATTGTCCTTACGTGGCGCTATATTTCAATCCTTCCGTAAGAGCGTCGCTACCCTCAACACACGAAAAAGTAATGATAACACACTACTTAATATACTTTTCTACCATGTCTGAAGAATACATGGACTGTTGAGTTAAATGTCTGATAATCGTCATTGACCAAGTTGCAGCTGTTTGTATGTCTATTTCCCAGTCCCAACATGGGGTGGAATGTGTGACAACTTTACATGTACCGTTTCAAACGTCGATGTAAACTGAACATATGGTGATAGGCTAAGAGTTATGACTGACCTGATAGATAAGTAACGTAACACCCAAGATCCAAGCTGTTTACGCCATGGGTTGTCTGACTGAACTTTGACCTACTTTAGTATTAATTAAGTCATTAAGGGTCATGAGTTGTCTGACTGAACTAATGACCTACGATGATAGGTCACAATCTTCGACTGGGACAGATTCGAACGAGTACAAATCCTCAAGTAGAAGATTTCGTCAAGATATACAAAAGATGGACCAGGTGAAACCATACAGGAAAATTGAAAGAATTTCTGGGATTGACAAATATGATGTGGGAATTTCATGTTCTGCAAGACATCATCATGACTAAGAGTGATTGTGTCAGTGAGGAATCAACAGTTATCAAAAAGGAACTCAGGATATGCTACAAACAGTGATTGTTGAAACTGTATCAAAATGTTTAGATTTTTGGTTCTTAGAAAACATTACCATGTGTGGTACATCTGGATCGCATTCCCTGGCATAGCAATAAAATTGCACTGATAAATCAGGATGCAAAGTACTGCATGTATATCCAGCCTAATCTAACCAGCCCAAAGTTCTTTTAGTTCATATTTATATTGATTATCCTGTTTGCCTGTAGAGAAGTTTTAGGATTTTATTTTTGCATAGCTAACTATTTTCTCCTGTTGTTTTACCATAGATGATAGAATTAGTGTTGGTAGTTGAAATGGATAAAGGAGGGTTAGTGCTGGTATGTACTACATGCCATATCTAATATATTTTGCAGCAATAGAGCCAACAGCTTATTATAGAGCCTTATCTTTGGTTTTAGAGTACATTTGGATGAGGTAAGTAGTAATCGGTGCCTTTTTTTCAATTTCTATTGTTGACATTGTTTGTTCAAGCCGTTTTCGTTTATTGTCATATAGCGTTACTAGTAACATTGCTGTTATTGTGATGTCTGAAATTGTCATGAGTCGTTTTTAATATCATTCATTACATACATACAGAGGTTTTTTTTTAACCTCATATTTCTTGTTGTGATTACCATTTTTCTTTTCGGATGTACTTTCTTTTTGTTTATTAAGCTACTAGAACTCAAACTCCAGCCCTGAACCTTCCATCCGTTTACGGTACTTTTGGTCAAACGTGTCGCTCTCCTTGGCCGAGAAGTGATTCTTCCAGTCTCCAACAATACCTTGGGAGACAGAATTCGAAAGAGATTGGGGATAGGAGCAAAAACTAATCATGTAGCATGACTCAGTATTTGACAAAATATGACAACATTGTTCTGTTTTTGAGATCACGTTATGAATAACGTTACTAGTATAAACTAGACAAGGTCAAAATTTTACTATTCAGTCAAAGGAGGAAAAGACATTGACTTTACCTACATTTTATTTTGACATACAATATTTCCGACAAACAGAACAGAATAGAAACATTGATCAAGTTTACCTTTCCTGATAATGTCCTTTCTCCAGTATAAGGACGTCTCTGTCAACCTCTTTCTCATTGATTCCAGGCTGCAACTGGTCAGCACACGGTCCATGTCTGCATCGGTCAGTTCTTTCTCCAAAAAGCTGCAATAGTTTTCACCCACAGGCGAAAATCCTGCAAGGACAAATAAATGTGTAAAGAATTACGACTGCAGCGTTCTGCATTGTGGGTAATATGTCAAAGTTGAAGTCCCCTGAGACGTAAACGTTGTCTTATGTTATCATGAAAGTTTATCTGTGTTGGTAGTAATCATAGTAAAAAGTTGAACTTTATTCCAACCCACAATTTACAGAGAGATCAAATTTTCAGCGACCACTGTTGCCATCATAATTAATGACCGATCACTTCACAACGTGATCTCGTTGTCTTATGTGTTTTGTGTGCACTGCACCTTTTTATAGATGCTGACGATATTGATAACATTCCATATGATTTTTGTTGCTTTCATTCTCTCACGAATACACGCTTTCTTTACCTTCTTCATGTCTTCGTACTTGACAAAAAGGAAGTGGGGGTCATCTTTCTTTTGCCACCAGCCCAGCACGTGGTCGAAGTAGTCACCAAAGGTTACTGTGATGAAAAAGGATAACATGTATATTTGTCTCTAACGTAACGAATACATAAATAGATAAAATAGATAAATAACTATATTGCATCAAATTATCATATTAATATAATCACACCAGATTCATACCAGGGCACGACAAGCAGGTACTGCATACAAATAGGGGCCTATTTTACATTGTTGATACAAAAATGTCAGAGCAAATAGAGGTCAATGATCGAAATTTCATATTTGTGCCATAAAGGTGAACATCACCACGCATAGAAGACGTACATTTGCAATTAATTTATAAAGCTCTAAATATCTATTGGCAGTACGAGTTTCCAAACTCTCGTCTATAAAAATATCACTTCATATATTATGCATATATTACCAGTAAATTGGCATTGTATAAAAGTGGGAAGTCTTCCTAGCCGAAGAAATGAACTGTTTTGTTTTCATCCTATTCACCTCTCAATATAAAACTAACCTTTTCCACTCAAAAAGTCCTTACTGTGCTTTTCCCAGGATTCTGGAGGCTTTAACAACGGATGTTTCGATAGGTAGTAGTAGCTCGACACACAAACATCCTTAGGGTTTCGCATGACGACAATGGCTTTCACCTGCACACACACACATACATCAATGTGTCAATCGTTAGATCATCGTTATATATATGTATATATAGTTAGATCATCGTTATCTTCGTTATCTCTCTCTCTCTCTCTCTTTACTCACACACACTACACACACACACACACACACATATATGGGTGGAGAATATGATCAACTGATATACTTAATGAGGATCTGATTTGTATGATCATTGCAGAGAAACATTCAGAGTCAAAGTGAAAAAGTACAAAATACGAAGTGAGGAAAGCTGTATGAGGTAACTAAACCTTGGTGACTGGAGCTGTCAAGCCTGGAGGTGCCACTTGGACTGGTAGATGTGTAACCATCAGCCGAGGAGACGGGCTGTCTCGAAGCCGGATATAGTTGGGTTCTTGTTCTCCTGGAGTCCAAAACTCAACTCCTATTGGTGCTGAACTTTCCTTCTTTCCACCAAGAATCTTGTGCACAGTTTCGAACATCCAGTTGAAACCTTGGAAAAAATGTAACTATTGATGATATTGATGAAATTTAC